CAGTAAAAACTTCATGCTGCTGCATCAACTGGACTGGAGTCTGGGTTCTTGGGGCGCCCCCTCGAGAAGGTAGTACCCTGGGTCTGGGGTCTATCAGGCTCTTAGCTATAACATCTATTACACTGTAAGGAATGGAAACTCCTTGTGGTTTCAGGGTTTGCCTTTTCTCTGTGTAGCCATTCTCAAGCAGGAGTGATTTTGCTTTCTAAGAGTCATTTGATGATAAATGGTGATTATTTGGGGCTCAAATTGAGTGTGAGCAGCTTCTAAAAACATGTAAATCTTCTAAAAGATGCCAGGGATATTGTTACATATCCTACAAGACATAGAACATATCCCACACCAAAAGTTTATCTAGCCCCATATATTGATGTTATGTTAAGAAATGTCTGTTCATCCAGAAGCAACATTTAAAGAGTGACAGACTGAAGGGTAGAATCCATTATAGCTTTGGAAAAATCTACAAACTTTTACTGCCGACACGTATTTCACAAAGCAGATCTGTTACATCAAAATTACAGCACCAGGAAAAAATCTGGCCTGAATCTGTCTTATTTGTGTTGATATAGTATTAAAATGTTGAAAAAAACGTGTTGCAGCATTTAAAGTTGCATTAAAAAGCCCAAGTTTCACCAGGCGGTGGTGGTGCACGTCTTTAATCCCAGCACTTGGGAGACAGAGCCAGGCAGATCTCTGTGAGTTCGAGGCCAGCCTGGTCTACAGAGCAAGTTCCAGGAAGGCACCAAAACTACACAGAGAAACCCTATCTCGGAAAAACAACAACAACAACAACAAAAAACCCGGGTTTCTGACTTTTTAAAAACAGACTATCATGTTTTCACCCATATGAAAACTATTTAACAATTGGGATAATTGGCAGGTGCTCAGAATGTGCATTTGACCTTCCTGGATGAACTGTCTGCAGGAAAGGATGAAGGACTGCCTGGTGGCATGAGCCCTTAATTCTAGATACTTGGGGAGGCTGAGGGAAGGGAATAGCAATCTAGGCCATTGAAGGCTACAAAATGATTCCACCTGGATGATTTTAGTAAGCCCCTGTTGCAAATTAATAAAACAAATATTCAGTGGTAGAGCACTTGCCTAGTATATGAAGCCCTTGGTTCAATCTCCATCCTGAAAAAAGAGAAAACAAAGTGGAAATTCCCAGGTCAAGACACCAGCTCTGTCACCTGCTCCTTATCATTCCCTCTCACCTTAATGTTTTCCTTATTAGCTTAAAGGCAGAAGTGAGGTCTCTTCATATTCAAATATTTAAGAAAGTTCAGTTCTGAGGGGGTGTAACTTTTTTCTAGCTCATATATGAATACTGTACTTACACCATTTCCACTTTCCCTCTCCTCCCTCCAAATCCTTCCATGCCCCCGACCTTGCTCCCTCTCACATTCACAGCTCTTTTTCTTTAATTATTATTGAGATGATAGTTGCTGAGTTGCTTGCATGAATATGTGTTTAGGCCTAACCAGCTGAGATTGGATAATCTATTAGGGGATTCTCTATGGAAAACACTGAGCCCACCTCCCTTAGAAGCCCTTAATTGCTTGTAGCTCTTCACCAAAAAGAGATAGTCTTGTGAGCTTTATGTTGGCATGTCAACTGATGTTGTCACTGTTCAGGTCTTTTTTAGGCTAATATATTATTGGGATTTCATTGGTGCAGATTTCCTGTCATACACAGAAGACACGATCTCACAGCAGATGTCCTGGTCCTCCTGCTCTTAAAGTCTTCCCTCTCCATTTTCTTGATGCTTCCTGAGCCTGAGATGAAAGGGATGCTATGATTGTGTTGATTGGGGCTGGGAAATCCATGGTCAGTTGTTCCCTGTGTTTTTACCAATTGTGGTTGGGTAGTGGTCTCTGTCTGCTGCAAAAAGACTCCTCTTTGATGAGGACTGAAGGAATAGTATTTAGAACAGTAAATCATATGGATTTAAGAAATTGGCAGTTTCACAGCTTCACTAGTATGGGTAGCTGTCTAGGTTTATAGCATCAGACATGAATTCCCTACAGAGCAGGCCTTAAATCCGATTAAGTAGCTGTCAATTACCCCAAGACAAAAGCGTAACTATTGCCTCTTTGGGAATATGTTGCTATGCTGTTCATTGTGTGGTTTTCAGGCATCACAGCTGGGTGGGACTATTGATTGCTTTTCTCATGTGGCTGCTTACATAGCACCTTCTGGGACTATGAGATCTGCTCCTTGGAAGAGACTTTCAGGTCAGATCCAGCTCAAGTTCTCCAAGTCCTAGGAAAGGTCAGTTTTAATCTTCATCAAAACATTTAAAATGTCTTTAAATTAAAAATATCAAAAGAGAAAAAAATATTTCCACAAGTCTGCTTCTACTATATCATGTTTAGCTTCTAAAACTTTGAATTTAAGTCCATTCATTTAGCTTAAACAGTTTCTATGAGATGCAGAAACTCTGCAAGAAAACAAAGGCTCAGAGCCTCTTTGCTTCTCTCCTGTCCTGGAACCTCAGCAGATGCTTGAGGAACTTATGCTGGGGAGTTGAGTGACTAAAGATGGTTTGCTTGTGATACTCCAGCAAAGGAGCCAAAGCCACACTTCGGACCACCATTGGTGAGACGCTCTAGGATGGTGGGTGGAGACAGGAAGGGCTTCTGTCTCCATTTGAATCCTGATTACCTGTCCACTCATCTAGAATAAACAGAATTTGGGAGCATACAGGGTTTTCAGAAAGACATGGTCTCAAGACTTAGGTGGAATCTGGTCAAGTTGTCCATCCCAAAGGCATCAAAGAGAGAAGTAAGGAGCATCAGGAAACAAAAGGAGAGAAAAAGAGAGAGCGGGGCAGAAAGAGACCAGAAGAGCACTGGAGAGACCCATGCCAGCAGCTCTCCCTGAGGTCGGGGCAGTGGCCATGACATTTCACAAACGCTGTTGCTCATTGCTTCACACCGGCACTTATTCCTACAGGCATGCGGACAAGTTCCAAGGCATTGAGTCCATAACAAGGCATTGCTCCCCAGTCTGCATATTTCATTTTTCTAAGGTAACTTTTGAAAGATTTCCTGACAGTTGCATAGTTTTATGTCAGTGATCTATGGATACAGTCCTTACTCTGTCCTAAGCAGCATTGGGGGAGAGGGAAGATGTGTTTCACTGTGATATGCACAGGAAAATAATCATTCTCAAATGCATCTCCATCTTACAGAGAAAAGCAGGTACAAAGCCCTTGAGACCAAGTTAATAACAACGGTTACAGCCACCACATTTTATTGAGCAAATTAACATTGTTAAACATAATGCATAGGAAGGAGGCTAGTGACTTGTCTTGTTGGAGCTTGGTTTATCTGCTCAGAAATCAGGAAAGAGATAATAGTCAAATCCTTACATGGCCACTTTTAGCTGGCACAATATGAAAACTCCCTCTGTTTTAACCTTTATAAGGAAAATTACTTTTAAATGTAGGATCCATTTTATGTTTTATTTCTGCTTTCCCCAGAAACCTCCTTTTCTTTTTTTTATTATTAAGAATTTTTTTATTCATTTTACATATCAACTACAGATTCCCCCTCTCTTCCCTCCTCCCAACCCCCAGACTTCCTCCCCAACCCACCCCCCATTTCCCTCTTCCAACAAGGTAAGGCCTCCCATGGGGAGCCTTATACATTCAGTTGAAGCAGGTCCAAGCTCCCCCCCCCCCCCCCCCCCCCCCCCCCCCCCCCCCCCCGCATCAAGGCTGTGCAAGGTGTCCCACCACAGGTAATGGGCTCCAAAAAGCCAGCTCATGCACCAGGGATAGATCCTGATCCTACTGGCAGGGGCGCCTTAAACAGACAAGCTACACAACTGTCTCACTTATGCAGAGGGCCTAGTCCGGTCCCGTGCAGGCTCCACAGCTGTTGATCTAAAGTTCACGAGTTCCCACCAGTTTGAGAAACTTCCTTTTTTATCAAGCTAACCTTCAAGGCTGAGCTCATCCCACCACCTCAACTTATAAAATGAAGTGTTGGTCAATCCAGAATCACAACTAAGTGTTAATTAAGTTTTGTCCTTAACAATTATGTTCCAAGCTAAAACATTTCCATGCACACATAAATACTGTGTTAAATAGTTTACATGCACACTTCTCATCCTCCCAACAGAGTAATTTGTCTCTACTGGCTCCTTTCAGCACCTCAGTGGACTAAGTTCCTTTCAGACAGTGGGATAACCAGGTTCATTTGTTTGCCCTACCCCCAGATATCTACCCATTGCAGGTAGCTGTTGAATAATCATCGTTTTCTCTACAATGCATATGCTTTTATGGAAATAATCCCTTTTCTCATTTTTTAAGTAATAAAATAGAAGTTAAACAGATTAAGGTTGCCTGCTTGCTGCCACAAAACAAATCAGGAACAGAGTCAAATTTACAGCAGACTCTGACCTCAATGCCCCAAGCCTTTTCCACTCTACTTAGTTGTCTCTAACTCCTGTCAGGAAAACTCAGAGCCTTCCTAATCCAGGAGTTTTACCTTCAGGGATTGGAAAGAACCCATTCCGGTATTTGATGTTGGTTTTAGAATAATTCCATGTATTTGATGTCCACTGGGAATTTCTACAAATCTTTTCATCCCTGCTACTTCCTCCTTGAACAATCTGCAAAGGGCACTGGTGACTAAACCACACACACACACACACACACACACACACACACACACACACACACACACACACATACACACACACACACACACACACACACACACACACACACACACACACACACACACACACAGCTACGGCTCTCCTGAGAGGCACTTCTGGGACTGCTCAGAAGAGGCTGCAGGAGAAGAAGGCAAACACGATGTCAACACTTCCTTTCTCTCCCTCCCAAGCTCCTTATTCTTATCTGAAAAGATCTCAAGAGGTTCTTAGGTACTTCTGCCAGGCCTCAGCTTGAAATTTAGCACTGAAGTACTGATACTAGAGGCCAAGCTATGCTAGAGTCAGTCACTGTGATGAAATTCATGCCTCACCTTGATAAATGTGATGTTTACTGATCCACCCTGGAAATCCAAGAAGAGGTGGGATTTTTGGAAGCCACATTTCCCAGATGCATGGGTTAGGCTGGGGTCAATGTTGAAGTGTCTCTGAGTTGCAAAATCCTAAACCAAATAAGATAGACCCATTCAGTTAGAGAGCAGAGGAAACTCAAGACAGAGACCCAGAAGTACAAGCTATTAAATGAGTAACAAATAAATGGATGTTCATTTGAATACCACAGACTCCCCTGGTGGATGGTACCCTCTCACACCCAAGCAAGTACTTAAAAGCTTGAAGAAATTCCCCATGACAGGGACTTCTTAATGAAAAACTCATAGGAGGCAAACTGCATGAAATTCAATTTTTGTCAATTCATTGTATTGAAAGGTGATAGAGGGAGGAGCTTGTATTGAAGGTACTTCTGCCTCAAATACAGATATGTGAGTTCTTTTTTTTAGGATAAAACTAAAAAGAAAATAATTTATGATGTCTCCTTCATAAGTAAAGTGCTTTATACATTCTTGTTAACTTGGATTTTTGTATGAACATCACAGTGGACAGGAACCATGGAGAACATCGGGTTCCGAGAGTGGAACTGAGGCTGGGAAGTCATGGAGAGGGACAAGGCCAGGCTGTGACTGTCATTCAGCATCCCTAATATTGTCAATGCTGGCTCCAAGTGAGATGTATACATGCTGAAGTTCTCTTTGCCTTCCCTATTTTAACTTTTCTTCTGGAACACATTCCTTTATGGTAGAGAACACTGGAAAGATGAGCCCACAGCTAGCTACCTGTCTCACCTAAAGACAGTTTGTAGAGAACTGCTCTTTTCTGCCTCCTGAGTGCTGAGATTAAAGGTGTGCACCACCATCACCCAGCAAGAACTGCTCATTCTTAGCAAAACAACTCCGGTCAGACTTTAAAAATAGCATTATCATCTTATGACCCCAACTTACCAAATCCTTTTCTTGAATGATCAGCTCTATCCCCATCTCTGCTTTTATACAGAGACTGCTTCCATTTAGGACTTCATAAGTTCCAGTCTTGGCTGGTGATGACCGGGTTGCAAGAGTGGGCCCAGGAACCATGGGGGCAGGGGATGTTGATGAGCTGTCCTTGTGTGTAGGTGCTGATGTTCCTGGGACATAGGTGGGTGGTGTTGGCTTCTGATTGGTTGTGCTTTTGTGTGATGCTGTGAAAAATGTTTGGAAGAGGGAGGTCTGACCACCAGGTTTGGGAGTTCTCCCACTTATCTGGTTGACAGTGGATGGACTCGCTCCAGTTGTGTGAATTGGTAAATGTGCCACTGAACCAGGGCCAGTGGTAACTTCAGTAGATGAAGCAGTCATGTGTGAGTTATTAGGTGTGACAAAGGTGTAGCTAACTGGTCTGATGGGGAGAAGGCTTTTTGTAGTTCCTGGGATTATTGTTTTGATTGTTGTGTGATCTGTGTTTTCAGAGGTGGAGGTTTCAGCAGCCATTTGAATGTGATCATCCCTTGATCTCGCTGCTAAAGTTACATGTGTTTGGTTAGTCAGCTGTAGAAGAGGTTTTGTTGTGGTCTGTCCTGTTGCTGTTGAGGTATATTGAAGATAGTCTCTGGTTTTTGTAAATTCTTTTTCTCTTACTTGATGGCCATGTAAAATTACTGCAAATTAAGAAAGCAAACATGTTACAGGCACTGACCAAATGCTTACAAGGTCCCTCCTCCATTCCCACTTTAATGTGCTCACAAGTAAACTGGTGTGCACAGTTTCATGTTTGGAAAAACTTTCAAAAGTTGCAACAATGAAGTGAAGATCACCAAAGACTCGAATACCCGGCCATCACTGTAATGTTTTGGTTTGCACATGTGTTCTTTACATGTTTATGACCATACGCCAGGCATTCCACATGTAATCCCTTCATCTACATAAGTTTTGGTACTAATGCACACCAAAGTGACCATGTTCAACTGTGAAACCAAAAGGAATTCCTAAGATACCCTGGAGTGAACAGTGGCTATGATTATTTTATAGATTGGGGCAGCATTAGAATTATGGGGTTTTGTGTTTTTCATGGAATTGTGTAATTCCAAGTTAAAATAAGTCTAACAAGTTATTTAGTTTAAACCATAATCTGATGGGTAAATTGTGCTTAATTGATACATATTCATGCAATCTATGCTTAATTGCTCCCAATGATGAGAGACTACTTTCTCAAAAGATAATCCCTTCCATATTATTTTTTCTAAATATAGACCAACTTCTATTATTTTCTTAATCTTTTGAGCAATCCAGTCTTTATTAACTAAGAAAAAAGTCAGGGTATAATTGCTTTGGTCCTTCGTGTTTTGGTTTAAATGCTAGCTCTTCACAGTGTCTTTCCTTTTCCCCAATCACCATGGTTCTCCATCTCAGTAATATATTCATTGTTTTGACTTCACATATCACCTCTTGTACTCACATACGGGAAAAGTATCAAAATATTTAATGATCACATTGCCAGTAGGTGTGAGTAGAATTCCATCCTTGAAGGAATGTTTACTTCTTGGTTTATTTGTTGTTATGCATCTCACTCACTAGATTAAAAGCCTAAAGTTGAGAATTATGTGCATAGTTTTCACCACAAGTGCCTGTGTATAGAAAGTGTTAGGTAGCTATGAGCTGGATGAGTGAGTAAAGGAGGATAATAGCCTTGGAGACATTCTAGACTTATTATACAACTCAAATAAGTTGATTTCTTTGAAAACCTTCAGGACAATTGAGTACATAGTGTCTGCTGCTGTCACAAGTTCTCTCCAAGGATATCCTTTAGAGAGTCTAAGACCTCTGTCTCTCTTTCATCCAGATTCTATCCTTGCCTCTTTTTAAGCACAAATAAACCCAGAAAAGTAGACAAAATTCTTAAACTGGCCCTTGGAAACACTTTGATGGGATGTGCTGGGAAACAGCTCTGTCTCTTCAAGCTTCTTTGGTTCTATTGTAGTTACTCAGAAACTTATGCTGTAGTTGCTGGCTCTGGGCTGAAACTTGAAAAAGATGTAAAGAGAAAAAGGGACATGGCTTTACCCTAGTATTTATGAAATCCTCAGGTTTGTTACAGTCAATATAGTCTATAAATATCTTTAGGTCTCCTTCTATTCAATATATTTTGAGTGGTTAATTTTTCTGTGTTAATAGGTAATGACAAAACCCTTGGTGTTTATGCTACTGAGGACCAAATTCAAGGCTTTGTATATCACAGGCAAGCACTATACTACATACCCTTAAAACTTCTTAATTACTGCACACTTACTACATGGTGGCTTCAAATCAAAGGTATTGCTTCCTCATCCTACCACAAAGACACTTGCTCAACCATGTTCATTGCTGCTCTATTTATAATAGCCAGAAATTGGAAACAACCTAGATGTCCCTCAACAGAAGAATAAAGAAAATGTGGTACATTTACACAAGGGAGTATTACTCAGCAGTTTTAAAAACATGAAATTATGAAGTTCACAGTTCAGTGGATATAACTAGAAAAAAACATCCTGAGTGAGGTATTCCAGAAACAGAAAGACAAATATGGTATGTATAAATGAATACATACCATATTTGTCTTTCTGTTAAGTCAGGGGTAACCAAGCTACAATCCATAGAACCACAGAGGATAGGTATAGAACAAGGGACTAATGTAGGCAGAGAGATTTCATTAGGGAAGGTAAATAGGATAGTTATGGATGGATGGATGGATGGATGGATGGATGGATGGATGGATGGGGGCTGGAACAAGAGGATCAAGTGGGGAAAGGGAGAGGAGAAAAGGAGAAGGGAAGAAAATTTGTGGAGAGACAGTTAAAATTAAGGGCAATTTGAGAGGTAGGATGGAAACCTAATACGGTAGAAGCTTCCTAAAACATACACATGTATGAAGGTGATCTAAATGATATCACCAATAATTCAGGAAACAGAGCCCCAAAAGGAAATTGTCACAAATGAAGTTTCCAGTACTAAGATTGGATTACACCTAATTGAGCTTTTGACCAAATGGGTCCCATGGGAAGCTCCAAACAATCCAGGCTATTGTCAAGACTAGAGCTTTCTCTCTACAAACTGATGGTAAAGCCCCAAGGCTGAAGACAAAACCTACACAACTCATTGAACATGGAGAAGCCAAACTGGTACATATACAGAGCCTTCACCCCATGGGCTAGCATCTTTGGTACAGGACACTACTCTGCACACTACACTAAAAAAGAAACATAAATACTAACCCAGCCACAAACCCTTAGATCAACAATGTTGACCTTCCTGAAATATATGCAGGTCAATGGTGGCACAAAGCTTGTGTGGGGGAGTAACGAACCAACATCTTATTTGACTAAAGACCCACTCCATTGGGAGAGCAAGGAAAAAGATATCATGATAAATGAAGACACCATGGGAATAGGGAGAAACAGAGTGCTAGGGAAGTTCCCAGGAATCCACAAGGATGATCCCACCTTAGACTACTGGCAATAGTCAAGAGGGTGCCTGAACTGGCCTACTCTGGTGATCAGATGACTGAATACCCTAACTGTCATCATAGAGCCCTCATCCAGTGACTGATGGAAGCAGATGCAGAGATCCATGGCTGGGTGCCAGGTGGAGCTCCAGGAGTCCAATCAATGAGAGGAGAGATTCTATAAGCAAGGGACATCGAGACCATGATGGGAAAAACTACTGAGACAACTAGTCAAACTAGTAGAAAGGCATGTACTGTGGAGCTGAGAAGCCTCCATGGTACTGGACTAGGCCCTCTGGATAGGCAAGACAGTTGTTTGGCTTAAACTGTTTAGAGGCCCTCCAGGCAGTGGGATCAGGACCTGTCCCTAGTGCATGAGCCAGCTTTTTGGAGCCTAGTGACTATGGTGAGACACTTTGCACAGCCTTCATGCAGGGAGGAGGGACTTGGACCTGCCTCAACTAAATGTACCAGGCTCTGCTGACTCCCCATGGGAGACTTTGCCTTGGAGGAGGTGGGAATGGGACGTGGGTTGGGGGAGAAGGCTGGAGGGGCAGGAGGAGGGAGGACAGGGGAATCTGTGGTTGGTATGTAAAATGAATAGAAAGTCTCTTAATTACAATAATAATAATAATAATAATAACAATAATAATAATAATAAAGACCCATTCCATGAACTAGAACCCATACCCAACACTGCTAGGGTGACCAAGAGCCAGATACTAGACAGCATAGGGACCTAGAATAAAATCAAATACTACTGTAGCAATAAAAATGCCTCCTAATGGCCATTCTGCTGTACTCTTAAATCTGTTCCTTGCTCATCACCATCATCAGAGAAGCTTCTTCCTACAACAGAGGGAAACAAATGGAGACCCACAGCCAGACTATGTGTAAAGAGTGAGAGACCTTGGAACTTTCAGCCCTAAATGTGATGCTTCCATCAAATCCCTTCCCTCAGGGCACTGAGAACCCTGTGAAAGAGGAGGTGGAAGGCTGGAGAGATGGCTCACAGATTAAGAGCACTGACTGCACTAACTGCTCTCCCAAAGGTCCTGTGTTCAATTTCCAGCAACCACATGGTGGCTCACAACCATCTGTAATGAGATCTGGTGCCCTTTTCTGGTGTGCAAGCATACATGCAGGCAGAAGAACACTGTGCACATAATAAATAAATAATTCTTAAAGAAAGAAAGAAAGAAAGAAAGAAAGAAAGAAAGAAAGAAAGAAAGAAAGAAAGAAAGAAAGAAAGAGGAGGTGGAAAGAATGTAAGAGCCAGAAGAGATTAAGGACAACAAGGAAACAAGGCCTTCTACATCAACACAAGCAAAGCTCGTATGAACTCAGAACAGAAGCATGCACAGGGCCTGCATGGGTCCTGTGTCAGGTCCTTTGTGGATGTATTATGGCTTTCAGTTTAGTAGTTTCATTGGAATCCTGGAGTGTTCCTCCAGTTCTTGTGTCTTCTCTTGGTCTTTTTTCCTTCTGTTGATTTACCTTGTCCAACTTTGCTGTGGTAGTCTTTGTTTTCTCTAATTATATTATATTTACATTTTTAAATGAATGAGTAAGTGAATGAATAAATGACTGAAAACCTAGCCACTGGGGTAAAGATTAATAACTGAACTGTCACTTACACCTGCTGGAAAAGGGAAAGAAAGGTTCCTTCTCTGGAGTGACACTGAGTATATGAACCGCTCCAGGACAGGCCTCGTGTTCAGGAGGAGTTGACCAACACATCGTGGACAGTGCACAGTGTTGTAGTGTGCTTGCATTTGGTTACAGTTTGGAGGGTTTGTTGTTGTTTTTATTGTTTTGCTTTTCTTTTGGGCTGTGGTTTCATTTTGTTTACTTGTTTTGGGGTACTTGTTATATTGGGTTTTTATTTGTTTGTTGAGAAAGAACTAAAATTTGTGTGGGTAGGGAGGGGGAGATGATCTGGAATAACTTGGGAGAGGGGATGAATATGATCAAAATATATTTAAGTTTTAAAACTGTTTTAAATAAGAAAAAAAGGAAGAAAGTGGTGGCACCCAATCTCAGAAAGAAAAAAATCCATCTCCCATATGTGAGTATTAGCCAATAATGTATACACATAAGCAAACAAATGTATACACATAAGCAAACAGATGTGTTCAGTGTAACACTTAGAAAAGAGAACATGAAATGGTAATTAAAAAGACAAAATGTGCCGGGCGGTGGTGGCGCACGCCTTTAATCCCAGCACTCGGGAGGCAGAGCCAGGCGGATCTCTGTGAGTTCGAGGCCAGCCTGGGCTACCAAGTGAGTTCCAGGAAAAGGCGCAAAGCTACACAGAGAAACCCTGTCTCGAAAAACCAAAAAAAAAAAAAAAAAAAAAAAAAAAAAAAAAAAAAAAAAGACAAAATGTTTACTAATGTGTTCACAAAACAATAAGAGGGAAAGGTGATGCCTCCAAAGCCCAGCCTCTTCCTCAGCAATGAAACCTTGACTGTAAGCTGAGCCTGTGTTTGGGGAATAAATCATCCTGCTTTCACTTCCAACTGGATGAGAGTATGTGCATAGGCAGCAGTTTTTACTTTTTATGTTAGCTTAAAATGATAAGTTGTGGTTTTTTCCCACAGTGCTAGTGAGTGGATCTGATGCCAAGCCAACACTACCATTTCACTATATCCCCAAATCATTTCTTTTCTGTACTTCTGAGAACATAAAATTATAATCCTGAAAGAACAGCACAAACAAAAACTACTTGGATTAAGGCAGCTGCATGACCCTTCACACAACTTCCATAAGATTCATATAACAACGAAGGCCTCCGTGTCCTCCACTAGAACATTCAGCAGTGCAGGGTAGACTGAGTCAGTGGTCTCATGAGCTAAACTCAGTGGTTCTAGAAGGAATTGGAAATTAACCGGTACACTTGCTAGCAGAATAGAACAACAACCCAATAGAATTCAGTATCTTGTGTATAAAACACTCAAGTAAGAGTAGGTACTTAAGACAGCCGGTGATTATTCTAAGCAACCTTTCTGAGTTGATTGTGGAACAGCAGTATTTTAATAACCTTTTTGATGCCTCAATTTACATCTTTGTGAGACGATTTAACTGGTCAGATGACAGCTGATGTAGCTTTGAACGTCACTGTTTACATAAAATAAACCACTCACATTTAAGAAAAACAGAGAATGCAGTATGTGACTAGATAAAAACTCCAATTCCTAAGCCATGGCTCAGTTCTCCTAGATTAAGGTGATTTTTACAAACTCACATCGATATATAATATTCAGACTAACATGGTTGCCAGAGGCAATGTCTTCTGGGGTTGATACCCATTCTAACTTCCAGAAATTCAACTCAAGTCATAAAGGTCCTTGGGAAAAATAGAAGGTGGTCCCCATCTGTGTAAGCTAACAGGTTTTAAATGTCTTCACACTAAATACCTGGAGTAACAGAAGTCACATCTGTAGCCCTTCCTGCCTCACCTTAGGTCCAGGGCACAAGTGAGCATTTAGATTTAAAAGAACTAGATAAAGCTTGGGCACCACAGAAAATGGGCTCTGCCACTTACCAGCTAGGGACAGGAAGAGCAAGGCCACTGCAGAGAGCTGCCCGGACATGTCAAGCGAGGTTGATCTACTTCTGCTGTGTGCTTGGCTGGGCACAGGTGGGCCTTCCGAACGGCGGGAAAGGAGTCAGTTTCAGAGCAGGTTCATAGAACATCAGGAACACCAAACGCCTTGCCCTTCATCCACTTATGACAGAGAAGCTGATCTCACTCACATGAAGACAAGAAGCTAATAGAGCTAAGGATTTGCTGCACCTTGAAAGAAACCACAGGCAGCTCACAGTGGGAAAGTAAACACTTGCCTCTTCCTGGAGTGTTTGTGGGAGGTGAAGGTGTGGGTGGGGACTGGATATGGTGAAGAGCAACAGAAATCATTTCTCCAAAAAGGGTGGCAGATCCGTGGCAGTTCCTTCCCTTATAACTTGGGTCTCCTCTTTATGTAATAGCTTGAGGTCATTTCTGTTAGTCCTTGTCAGCCAGTCCTTCAGTCAAGTGGTTGAGCAGTAGTTCTAGAACAGCTGTCTCTGAGTATGAGGCATGCCGGTGTGATGTTCATAGCTACCTCAGTTGCAATCTTGTGGGAACTAGGGAGATGGGGAGTTGAGTCTGGGTCTGGCCATTCACCAGATGAGTTACACTGGTGACTTTTTGTTGTGAGTATACTAATGTAAAAAGATAGACAATCGCATTTGTGTTTTCTCACAATGTTAGGATCTATCAATAACAATAAATTCACAAGTGGTTCAGTGGTAGCTATTTGCTAGATACTCTTGCTTTGCTTGGCAGAGGGGAACATGGGTTCTTTTATTCCAATCTTAATTATTAATATTAACTCAGATCACTCACACACCACACTGTGTGTAGGGGTGTGTGTGTGTGTAGACTATAGAATATCTACAAAAAGCTAAGAGGTCACAGCAGAGTTAAAGACTTTTTTGGAAGTGAATGTTTTTTTTTCCATTTTAATTGGTTCTATATATTTATTGTTAAAAATTAAAATGACAAAATTGCCTTTATTGCAAATATCTAAAAATTAGAAATACAATGATGTACTCTACTTTTTACCCTCTAACCAATTTACTAAATTCTATTTATATTCTTTCAAGTTCTTGAATTTCACCTCAGACCTGAGGCTTCTAAATCACAAATTACTTGAGACTCACCTGTGCTTCTTTGGGTCACATGAAAATGTGAAGGTATAATGAAGTCACATGCTTTCAAACTGCATATTCCATACAGATCACTGAGGACAAATTAGGAAGAGATCCCAGCACCAGAGAAATGAAAGAAGCTAAACGCGTCAGAGAACTCACACACGGATTATCAAAATGACTGCTGTGCAGGTCAGTCTCAAAAAACAGCTTTTATATCTGTTGCATGGCATTTTCCTTATTTTGCATTCTCGGAAGGACCCTGTCCACGATCCAGGCAAAAGCACAGGCACATCTCTATGGAGCCCTTCTTTCTTCATTCTGGTCTCCATTAAGACCAGCATTTCTTTGTTGCCAACCCACATAAATCTTTCCAATTTTGCTATAGGATCATTTTACATTGACAGTAATGTCCAGGCCTCATTGTGGGAAAGTCACCTTTAGCCTCACACAGAATTCTTTCTCTCTGTCCTGGGTTTGGTACTATTCTGGTGGAGGGGAAGGAAGCTTGGTGCTAGAGTGGAACGTAAACTTCCACAGGTCCTTTGCTAATATTTCTGGCTGTGGGCCTTCTGAGCCTTCAGAGGAATTTTGTTCTCAGGACACCTGAAGAGATCCTGGTATCATGGTAGGGTTAAACATCTATGATGGCTCCATGGTGAAGGGCAGAAGCCTCAAATGCTAGATCCAAACAAATATGCTTAGTCCTGGAAGAGACCAAAGTCATAAGCTCCACCGGGCAGAGGAGAGACAAGATCTAAATGTAAATTTTAGGAAGGTAAACAGAGTTCCTGTTGGTAAGACAGCGACCCGCTGAGACACAGGGAGGAAGATGGAGAAGTTGTGGCGGCTGTGAGTGCCATGGGTGTGGAAGAGAAGATACAAAGTTGAGCACAGCTACAGAAGTGAGAGACCAGGACCAAATCCAGATGAAGGAATGGAGACCGATGGAGAGCACAACCAGATGAATGAACAGAGGAACAGACAGAGGTGAGAAAGCTGTATCAACAATGGGGACTAAGATAGACTGAAGCCCTGGGACATTTGGGGGTTCTCTGCTTGCCAATCCTTCACACACACAGCCGGTTGTCAGACAGCAGGTGGGTGGGACAGAGCCTTTGCAGAGAGCTACAAGGCAGGTCGGTGGGACAGAGCCTTTGCAGAGCTGTAAGTTCACCTCTTCATGGAGTTTGGAAAAGAAGTTAAACTCTTCCCTAGGTCTGGTGTGCAAAATAAATTCTTGTGTATTATTTCCCTGATATGATTCTAATATACCCATATTCCCCTACCATCTCAGTTCACCCCAATAAATGTATAAAGTGCCCCCCCTTTATTTCCAGGAATAAGTCATTTATCTGTCTGTGCCACATGGGTGGTGCCATCACCATCTATCCTGAAAATGGAGTCAAAAGCTGCTTATGAAAGGGAGTCTCTCAAGTGCAAAGCACAGTTTGAAATACCACAGTTTTACACAATGTGGAGTATCTTAGAGCAAGGCGCAACCTGATCTCAACTCTCTAAACCTCGGTTTCTTGTGGTGTATGGTGAAGGTAAGCACACCTTGTCATACTCAGTTTTACAAAACAAACATTCCAAGGACACAGAAAATACCCACAGTCTTTGAAAGGCAACCTTTCCCTGACATCTTTCCTTTCTCTATTAGTTAGAAAAGATGCCGGCGATCTGTCTTTGGGCTGAGAACTGGATGAGGAGCATTTGCATACTCTTCTGATGATTGATGTTCAGCTTTTAGCCCAATCGCAAGTCATTCTCTGCATACAACTTTTGTCACAACTATTTTACCTTACCCCATTGGTCAAAAGACTGAATTAAGTTTATGTCCCAAAACTTGCACTAGGGTTGAAAATGTAATTTTGTGCCCATCAGTTGATCCTCAATAACTGTCTACTTTCTAGTCTGTGGGCCAACTCTTTCAACGGACAATAAACAGTATGTTCCAGGTGCTCTTCCTATTCCATCTGAGTCCCACAAGTACCCTATGTGGACACTACTGTTATTATTGTTATTCTCACTTTGTAGAGAAGTAATTGAGTTGTCCAGGATCATTCAGATAAAAATAAAAATGCTGAGCAACGAATCCAAGACTGAGAGTCTAGACTGTTCTATTGCTGAAGGAAAGTTCAAGCATAACATATGGCATCTGGTTTCAAGTTGTTTGCTGTCTAGTTGAAAAACAGTATCTATGATATGCAATAGGCAGAATAACTGAGCAGTCTTCTGCTAGAGTCACATTACCTAAAGAATGCAATTATAGTCGGACTTTCTTTGGACTGCCAACTCCCAAATAATAACATGAAGATTTCTTATTAATTATGAAAGCTTGGCTTTAGCTTAGGCTTGTTCCCAACTAGCTCTTATAACTTAAATTAACCATTTATATTAATCTACATTCTGCCACATTGCTCATTACCTCTCCTCCTTACTGTACAGCCAACTTCCCTAGTGTTTTGCTGGTGAATTCCCTGTACCAGATTGTAACCCAGAGTTCGTATCTCTGCCCAGAAGTCCTGCCTATTCTCCCTACCTAGCTATTGGCCATTCAGCTCTTTATTAAACCAAACAGAAGGTGCCTTGGCAGAGATACATCTTCACAGTGTACAAAAAGATTATCCCACAACATGCAATAGTCATAGATGAGTTCATTGTGGGTGGCCCTTGGAAAGTCTTTGAAGGTCAGAGAATTTGAAGGTCAGAGAATCGGAATTCATTGGAGAACAACTATAATAGCATAATTGTATAGTAATGATAATAATTTCTACATAAGGAATCTCTCCAATATGACTGATACTGTGTAATACAAAAAGCAACTCTTTAAGGTAAAAAAAAAGTTAAATCCCTGTATAAATGATGTGAAAGTGGACTACCCAACATCACACCACTGGCTAAGATTTGAGTTGTGGCCTATGTGATTCTGAAGCCTATATCTTTTCTGATTGCTGTGGGATGGTCTGTATGCCAAGTGTGTTGCTGATTGGTCAATAAATAAATCACTGATTGGCCAGTGGCCAGGCAAGAAGTATAGGTGGGACAAGGAGGAGAATAAAGCTGGGAAGTGGAAGGCTGAGTCAGAGAGACACTGTCAGCCGCCATGATGAGAAACAGCATGTGAAGATGCTGGTAAGCCACGAGCCATGTGGCAAGGTATAGATTAATGGAAATGGATTAATTTAAGCTATAAGAACAGTTAGCAAGAAGCCTGCCATGGCCATACAGTTTGTAACCAATATAAGTCTCTGTGTTTACTTGGTCGGGTCTGAGCGGCTGTGGGACTGGCGGGTGACAGAGATTTGTCCTGACCGTGGGCCAGGCAGGAAAACTCTAGCTACATCTGGAGAGTGGGGTAAGGCCCTTGGAGATGTTGTCCTCCAGGCATGAGATAACTGTTGTACTCTTGAACTTTCAGCAACTGTGGATTACCCAAGCAAGATATGCACGGCCATACAGTTTGTAACCAATATAAGTCTCTGTGTTTACTTGGTCGGGTCTGAGTGGCTGTGGGACTGGTGGGTGACAGAGATTTGTCCTGACTGTGGGCCAGGCAGGAAATCTCTAGCTACATCTGATGGTCCACAAGGATCAAAATCTTAGAAGGAGTGATATAGGCTTCACTAGAAGTTTCTGAGGAGCAGTGGTGAATATGACTTAAAGGTAAGTTAACAGTTGACCCACAGAGCAGAAAGCAGGCAGAAGCACATTTGAGAAACTGAAAAAGAGACAGAGAAGTTCAGCCTTGGTGGATTTGAGAAAAGACTCACCCATCACTCTTCCAGTGTTTACTGGATGATATCTGAATACAGTATCCTAGGAAGATGCCTAAGAGATCGTAATCTTAAGGGTCTAATTCATGGCTCCTGTTTTTGATTTGAGAGTGATGTCACTT